GAAAAAACATTTTAAACTCACCGGTAGCCCTTCAGGTCCCCTCTCTCCAGTTCCACCTTGCAGTCCAGGTAGACCTCGTTCACCAAGTCTACCTGGTATACCCGGCGGTCCTTGAGGTCCTGGTAGCCCCTAAAAATCAATTTATCTACATAATACATAGTTTTATGGATTATTTTCATACTTGTTAATCTACCACCTCCATGAACAATTATGATATTAAAAGTAAAGAAAAAAGTCATACCGGATTTCCATTTAGCCCTGGCGGACCTCTAGCACCCGATTCTCCATCACGTCCTTGTCGGCCAGGATAACCTCTTTCACCTTTTGCACCTAAATAGATACATTAACAATTAATTTTACTTGGCAACCATAAAAATATTTTTAAAAAATTCAACAAATCGTTCAAACAGTGCAATTTAAATAATAAAAAAATCAGCTCGTAAAACGAAAAATCGCTTATTTGTGTTCACTTACCATGTATTAAAGAAGCATTAAGATTAGCGGGGGGTCCGGGAGGGCCTTGTGTCCCCGGTACTCCAGGGGGACCTACGGGACCCGGCGGACCGGGGTAACCCTACGGATAACACATTTAAAAATATAAATCAGCTTATACCGTGATAGTGTAGAATATAAGGTTTTTAATTACACTGGAATACAAGATGTTAACACATTAATTGCGGCAAGTAAAATCATAATTCTTCACCTTGTGGGGCGGCGGGCCCAAATGCGCCCCCAATGATATTTCTGCCAACGCGTGGCAGGTCTTTCTAAACCCACCAGTACTAGGATAGATTAAATTGCTATAACTTTGTGGAAACATAAAGTATACATTTTATTTAATGTAATTTATACATTCGAGATAATAGTTTCGAACTAGCGAGAGGGACACAGTTTTCTTCGTCAGCACCAGCTTAAGTACCGCGTCAGGCCGATATCGACCTTTTACGCAGTGAGCGTGTTAATAAAAATGTTTTAATTGACATAACTTACATCTCTGCCATCAGCGCCGGGCAATCCTGCTAATCCAACAAGACCAGCCTCCCCTGGTTCACCTGAAAATAACATTTTATTTCCTTCTGTAAATTATTGTAAAAATACAACTACATTTACAATATAAAAAATAACTAAAAAGAGAAAAAATAACCAAAATATATTTAATCCTAGTGTAAAAGAGGACATGCTTAAGAAGGGAGTGGATTCAGATATGACGGATGATAGAAATGTATGGAAGAGCACCACATACTGTGCTGAACATTTGTAAGGGAGTTAACAAAATAATATACCTTTTTGTCCTGCATCACCCTTTTCACCTTTAATACCAGGTTTCCCCGTTTCTCCTCTCGGACCCGGAGCAAAAGTTCCCTTAAATAAAAATTAATAAGAAACAACAAAACATCAGGACTATAAGAAACCAAGAGCAAAATACCAACATCACAATATCCATTTCATTCACACAAAAATCAGCCATCTTCTCATCAGATTATCTGTCTCTTTCTTTCGTATAGATTTCTCCTTTTCACTCATTAAAACGTTCCATTTCTCGTTATACTTACATTGACAACTGTCCCGGGCGGACCACGCTCACCTCTGTCACCTTTGGGTCCTGTTAATCCATTAGCACCTGGAGGACCTTCAATCCCTCGTACACCCTTAAAAATACATTTTTAGCATCAAATTGTACTTAATGTTACTTTTTTAACATTACAAATGCTAAAGTTTAGATATTGTAATGTTTGTTAGAGTTTGTAGCCTAAACAGCTGAACGGATCTCGATGAAACTTTTGTTTTACAAAATTTTAGTGATATTTATTAATATTATAAATACGAAAGTAAATGGATGGATGTTTTTAAAAGACATTCCTAAACTGCTAAACGGATCTCGATGAAATTTAGCATAGATGTAGAGCAGTCAGTAAAAACACATATGATTTTATTTTTTTTATTGAGTTTCGCGGTTGGAATCGCAGGCGAAAGTTAGTCGTGAATATTAGTTAAATTTTTGGTCGTAAAAAACTATAAATATATTTTATTTAAGTGAAATATTAATGAAAGTTTACCGGTAATCCTGTGTAACCTCTAGGACCTTGTTCTCCCTTCTGACCTTTTTGACCTTCTGGTCCCTGAAAATATAAAATTAATTAAAACATTAATGCTGTTATTATTTTTTAAATAACAATGGTTCAGTGAAATCTATACTTATATTAAACTAGCTGTTCCCGTACGACTTCATCCGCATAAAATTATGAAAATTTTATTTTATTATTTACATATGTCAAATTATCAATTGTCAACATGACATGACATGAAGACAATCCATGGCAACCTTGCTTCCTTGATGTTGGCAGCAACTTATGGTCTCTTTCCCACATTAGGGTTTTTATCCAAAATATTTACCCCCTAAGTTTAATAGCGTGAAAATATATAGCCTAAAGCGTGACGTAAGTGTAGGGCATTTTATTAAAAAAATAACCATTCAAAAATATGCTGTAATTGCTGAGATCTTAGGCAACAAAGAAGTGTGTGTTTACGCTTTATTATAACAGTATAGTTTTATATTTTAGAGCAATACAAACTTACCGGGGGACATGTTTCGTTGCACGGTAAGAATGGACGCAAGTTGGGAGACGTGTCAGGGGAAATTAACTGAAAACAACAAGCATCAAAATAACAAATGTGTATTGAAATTCTAGTAATATGCATAGAGAGGGTATTAAAATATATGAAACAAGGTAAATATAAACAGAGTCAAGTTAAAATTATAAGGAACTTGACCAAGAGTAGTTACATTAATGATTTTTAATAGCGGGCGCACACCTTTGACATCGCATACATGTGCGATTGACGATTATCACAGCACAATTGTTTAGTTGCAAAAATCAATGCGAGACGAAACAGTTGTGCGATAGTTTAGTCAAAGGTGTGCGGCCGCTCTTTGCTTGTACAACTTACCGGTGAAGGTACAGTGACTGTCAGAGGTTCAGGTAAATCCTGTAATTTAGATTAAACGTTAAAAAATAAAAACTTATTCACAATTATAGTTATAAAGTTACTTACAATTTCTTCACAACTGTCCTCAGTAAGGTTATAACGGTTGCAACTTAATGACAACCATTGCAGATCTATCTGTAATCAAAAATGACCAGTGAATCTAAAGAAATAAAGTCTCTTATCGATTGAATGTAGAGTCTCAATAAACATAAATCATCTAGTTTCCTCAAAATATAGATTTTATATATACCGGTGCTGGAGTTCCATCATCATTGGTCACGATAGAAACTGACGTCACATTCCGGAAGTCGTGTTTCTTTATCTTTTCTGGCAACAACTGTAAAAAGAAACGTTAAAATTAATAAAGCTTACATAAAAATTATTATGCACTAGCTGTTGCTCGCGACTTCGTCCAAATGAAACTTAAAAAAAAATAGTAAAATATATAGCCTATTACTCACTGATAACAGCTTTTTAATCGTGGATTTTTTTAATTGACCTAGTTGTTTTTGAGTTATTCCAATACATACAAAAATACAAATCTTTCCTCTTTATAATATGAGTATAGGCTAGCTTTCGCCTGCGACTCCGTCTGCGCGGAATTTAAAAAAAAAACAAAGTTACTCTATGTGCTCTTCCAGACTATTCTGTACATCTATGGCAAATTACATCGCGATCCGTGCAGCCGTTTAGGTTCAAACTCTAACAAACATCCATCCATCTAAACTTTCGCATTTATAATATTACAAGAGGGAGAATATAAAATTTTACGCAGAAAAAAATTTAACAATAGTTATAGTTTAGTCGAAAGCATAAGTACTTTACAAACTTTTTTGTATGTTTTCGAACTTAGAGATGTATATGTTGTACCGCGGGTTCCAAACTTTACATAAGGAAGATTAAACAATTTTTAACAAAACTTACTTCTTTACAATCAACAGCAACATGTACGGCATCGTCTGTAACCGATGTATGTAGTTTATGCCATCCCGATCTAAAAAGCTGGAAAAGTATCACATGTAAAACCAACGAAAGAGATGGATTGCGTGAAAGGTGACATGATCAAGAAGGGAGTGACTGAGATAAGAGATAATACAGTTATTTAAAGGAAGAAAACCAGATGCGCCAACACTACGGGAGTATGATAAGATAGAGGAGATGACATGATCAATTGAAAAACGAACAAGATCTCTTATATCAATAAAATATTGCTACAAGCAAATAGGTTGCTTGTGCGCCTATTTTAATAGACAGAGAAGAGGCTTACAGAAAAAGGATATATTCCTTTTCTTTACAGCCACACCCTTACCGAATTAACTTAACATTCGCACCATTTTCTTACAAAGAAAAGAAACTGGCCTGCGGCAAAATAACTCGTCAAGAAAAACATAAAATTACTTTCTTTAGACTCCTGTTTTCTGTGTCGTCGTGGTATTGCATCTAGCAGCCCATTCGTACAACTAATTACGCTATGGACTTTACTACTATAAACACTTATGCCTTCACTCATATGAGCGGGCGCACATTATGACTAATCTATCGCACAACTGTTGTACCATTGTCCATTGTTTCGCAGCCAATTTAACTGTTTACACAACTAAAAATGGAGTAGTGTGAGCACCTACATATAAGCTCATAGGAATCAAAGCGAAACTTAACGGTTATGCGATAGTTTAGTCACGGTGCGCACGGTCTAAGACTTGTTTCTTACCTCAGGACAATCAAATACCACTCTAGAAGTTTGCACGTAAACACTTAATTTTTTAACATTCGGTAACAATGTTAGTGAAAACAGAAGATTGCGGGATCTTGCTCTGATGAGGGTCCACGGTCTTTGCAGACCTTGAGCGTTGAATGTACCCACCACACTGAAGTGTTCCGGCCATCCATTTGGGAATACTTCTCTGGAATAACCAACGAAGTAATCTTACTAATATTATAAATGCGAAAGTTTACATGGATATTTGTTTGTTAGAGTTGCCTAAACAGCTTAACGGATCTTGTTGAAATTTGGCATAGATTTAGAATAGTCTGGAAGAACGCATAGGCTACTTAGTATTTTTTCCATGCGGACAGAGTCGCGAGTGATAGCTAGTATTTTACTAAATTCAAGAGAAGCGTTAGTTGTAGAGTAAGTTATTAAATATAGATGGCGCTAATATACAAGCATGACTTCGTCTTTAGTAAAGTCGAAGATTTATTTTATGTAACGATTTTGTTTGTTTGTAGACAATTTAATATTATTAATATTGTAAGAATTAGTATTGTGAAAAGTTAAATTCGTTGCTAAACTCCACAACTAGTACGTATATAATTTAAATACTATTAAAACATATAAATATTTTTTCTACATACGTTACACACTTACTTCAAAGGTAACGTAAGATTAGCTCCATCGCCAATCCTATACGCTCTTTGTAGATCTTGGGAGCCTTGTACCAATGTAACCCCGGTGGTATCAGGCTGGTCTAATCTATACACAGCTATCAAGTCTACTGTCTGGAAGTCTACGTCTCCAGGTCGCAGATGGGAGCATGGTGCGTAAGGCACATCCAATGGGGAGATTGTAGTTACATTATCTGCAACAGATATTTAAATAATTTTTATATAATTGCTTTGAACGTGGATTAAAGTTGAAAGAGGTAAGGCAAATATGAGAACTAGAGATAAAATTACAATTAAAAATATTTGCTATTTAATTTTAAAAGGCGCATAAATTACGCTAACACTAAAATATATGCAATAAAAGTATACATATGTATTACCTGTAGCTTTACTATTACTGAACGGATAAATTAACAATAGCAATATTAACTGGTACCTGGAAATTAAGAGAATAAAGCATTATAAGTTTGAAAAGGCCACACAAATGTTCAAACTAAACGCCTATGCCTAAATATTAGTTTAAATTTTGCTTATGCTTAGTTTATTCCTAAGTTTAACTTTATACCGCGATTGTTTGTAAGGCTGTAAGTGTATTTTATGCCAGTAATAAACAATACCAGCGCTAGTATACAAGTGTAATGAAGACTTTAATTGGCTAAAATAAGCCCGTAACATTCATGCCAGGCCAGCGCTACTGCCCAACTGTACTAACCAAATGTAAACCAGGCATAATAATTAACATTGGCCGAAATCAATCGTCCAACATTGTCCCAGTTTCGTGTTCCATCAAATCTCGATACAAAATGATGGGTCAACAAATAATTGACCTATGGCAGTGTTACATGCGTAGCAATGGAGGCCTTCAAACCTCAATCAGCCGCGTTAAGGAATCAATTTATCTTAAATGTTACAATGTGTTTATTACCACAATATATTGAAGTAACGTATGCAGAACATTATGCATCGAAATGAGATGTCTAAATCTAGCTATTGCTACTCAATGTCACCGTACAATTGTTAACTTTGTCAGTTTCTAAACGGCCCAGAACAATTATAATACATTTTTCTTTGCTGCTATTTTTAGATATCATTTTTATGTCATTTGTAATATTCGTGCAGTTAAAAAATCGCAGTTCATAAATTACTAGAAAGATTTCGTTGAAGAAAGTTCAAATTCAATCGAGAAGATAGTATGATTTATCAGTTACTCGAAACCTGAACTGTTGTGCGATTATCGATTATTTTGCAATCAATTCGACTGTTTAGTTGCACAACTAAATATCGAGTAGTGTACCTCCATTTAAGGTCATAGGAATCAAAACGATACTTACGAGTTGTGCGATAATTTAATCACAGATGTGCGCAAGCTCTAACAAGGATGTTAAAAAAGATGGTCTATCAAGAAAAAATGCGTGACACTTCCGAGAACATCGTTGGTGTATTTTACACTCGTGTGGATATTACTAAAACGTTCTCACAAATATTCATAATAACCCCTCTGTATGCAAATACGTATTAAACATCTGTATTAACAATAACACGTCAATAGAGTTGGTAATAATTCTAAAGTTACAGACATAAAAAAGTGACCAATAGTCACCATTTAGTTGTTAAATTGAGTCGCCTTTACTGTTATTAATTTGGTCCAATACATATGCTCGTAAAATGTTTAAAATTTTAACGAAAGCAAAAACCCGACTATTAGAAGAAACGTTACGTCATTTAGTCATCGGACAAATTGTTCAGCGATGACGAAAAGAGTGACGTCTTTTTTAAACCCTAACTTTTACTGGATACAGGCATATGCAAAAAGGTTAATTAGTTAGTTTTTGACCGACTTCCCAAAAGAAGGAGGTATTCAATTCGACCGTATGTTTTTTTTTT